TTTATCATTTATTGAAGCTTCAAAACAAACAGAGAAACAAAGAGTAAAACAGACAAACTATACTCAGTCTTATTAATCATTATCATCATAAGAAGAGGAACTTTTCGAAACCTGATTAATACTATAAAGGACAAATAAGATTACCATCAAGGACAAATGAGACTGTCTTTTATGCTTTGTGTGATACTGTTATTGCATTTGGATGCAAAAATGACTTTAGGATTAGGTGTATAGGCCTAACATGTCAAAAAGAAAAAAGCAAACGAAAGAACACAAAGCATATTCAATTTTATATCAACTGCACGTGAAAGCCATGAAAACAAGCTGATTGAAGCAGAAACACAGATCCTGGCATTCATAGTAGGAAATGTCCTTCCATATTCCATTTTAGACGAATTAGAAAGTCTCTTTAAGGGTATGTTCCTCAAACCAGTAATGAATATTTTGAAGAAGAGCATAGCATGTGACCTGTGACACTTGTATTGTCAGTTACAAGTGCAAGAAAGTGTGCTGTGTTGTCACTATAAACCACTAAGCCATAATATTCTGACTATGCGGAGCTAGTGGTCTCTAGAGCTCTAAAGCCAGAGATTCTCCAGACATTGAATAACACAAAGACTAGAGGGTACCAAGGTTTTTCTTGCACTTTTGTTAACATTTGATCGTTTTCTTCTAGTTGTACTCAAAGTCGAGATGTTTGGTATTGTTGTGAATATTGTAGGATGTATGATACCCGGAGAAGTAACTAGCCAAGACAAAGTAAACTCCAACAGAGAATTGTTGGACCTCCTTTGCAGAGAATAACCCTGGACATTTCTGGTCCACTTTAAGAAACTGAAAGAGGTTATCAGTACATAAGTGTCTCTATAAACTACTTCTTGAAGTGGGCTGAGGCTTATCTATTGGTTGGCACAGTCCATTGCTGATGTATTGGCAGAGTACTGGAAGGCACGTTTTAGAGCACCAGAAGAAATCCAAATGAATAAAAAACAGCTTAAACAGCTAGCTGTTCACTGTGTTGTGTAAAAAAGCATTAGATGTGGCGAAGATGCAAAACTTTCATCTTATCGCCCCCCCCAGTCTGATGGTTTAGCAGAATGTGTAATACATACTACCTAGTGAATTGTTGCAAAGCTTATTATTCTTGGCCAAACAACTGCCATGTGTGATGGTGGTATGTAGAGCAACCGAGTAGAGATTTATAGGTTGCTCATGTTTGAGTAGGAAATATTACTTCCTCTTGATGTGATATATGACCCTTCATCACAATAAGACATTCCACACAGAGGATAAGACCAACAAGTCAGAGGGTAATGAGGATACTGTCTTGAGTTTTACAAACTCCCCTGAGTAGGTAGAAAAGCCTAAAAGCGTTTATCTGTCTGTCTATGATGATCCAGATGAGTAATTGCTGGAGTTAGAGATAAAATGCCCATCGTGTCGATCTCCTGATCAATGTGGGTGGAACAATCAAACTTTGGCAGACAGGTGATTGGTTACTATTTGATCATATGTAGCTAAGGCTGTTGGAGTGTATATATGAGATACATAGTACATCAGCAATTTGTATAACTGAATATGGTAGCTAGAAGTTTGAAAACTCAGTGGAAAGATCTTCATGCACTTGATTTCTGAGATACAGGTAGTATTTCATGGTATGTTTTATACACTAGATTAATAATAGCCATTTGAGTTATTTATAAGATAGGATGGTCTTGCGATTTGAAAAATCAGTGACTCAAAGGATATCGTAACCCTTGTTTTCTGAGCCACTGAATGAATTTTCTGATACAAAATTATGTTAAATGTGGTTTCTTCATTTTGTTTTACTTTTCGTTTTAAATTATGACTTACAAATAGTGTTTTCTTTTAATAATTTCAATATATAATGTAGTATCATGTATTTTCATTCACTATATTTAAGTTATAGTTATTTGTTTCATAAGGGTTGTGTCATTTAAATGGCATGTAATAATTAGTAGAAATGAAGGACATTTACTGTATTCCGTGGCCATGTTTAGTAAAGTTCATTAGTTTAAAGTTAAGTTTAATTGCCAGCTTGAGGACAAGTGTGAAAGAGAGGAGGAAAAAACTGTAGTATGCAGATTTATTATATGTTTCTACTTTTTCTTATTAGTGTAAACATTTTCATATTTAGTCTGATTCTATGCAGTTTTCACATAAAATCATGGTCCAGAAAACTGCTGAGTTGTTTTTGTTATAATCACCGTTGGTTCTTTGTTGTTCTATATTAGATAGTAGCTGCTTTGATCATGGGAATATTGTTGCAATCTTGCACATTGTGTAGAACATATCAACGATAGAAATGTTCTTCATTGGCTGAATAGATGATATCTATAGGTTACAACCTTTGCTACGTTGTAAGAGAATGACCAGCCATTTGTTAATGCATGTGGTTATGGGTAAATATGATGTTTCCCTTTAGTTACAGAGTATTGAATTCATATCAGTTCTACTTGGTTGTCACATTGAATCGGTAAATTGAAAGACATCTTACAGGAAAAAACTGTTGAGTGATTTATAGATCCTGTAGAAAGTGACTGTCCAGTGTCTACTCAAGTACACACATTGTGTTTATTGACTTTATAATAATAATAAAGGTAGTATTTCATTTTACATCACATACTAATCTGTTAGTTTTCTTAGCTTAAACTCAGCCATTTAGTTAAACATATTTATCTCTCGATTTTCCTAGTGGATCCTCCTGTTATAAAGAAAACTTATATAATACTCATACAGAAATCAGTTTCACCTGAGAACAACTTAATATCATGGTAACCAAATAGTGTTATAAACGTTTCTGCAGTTTTTCTTTATTATTATTAAGCCAAAGGCTGTACAGTGAGTTATATATGCTGTATTCACTACAGGAATCGAAGCATGAATTTTAGCTTTATAACCATTTAATCTTATGGTTAAGCCATTGGGAAAGGAGAGGGGAAGGGAACTTCTGCAATTTGTATTTGCTACTGAGTTCCATTGCATTGAATAGAAACAGATATTCATAGTAGCCCAGATGCACAGTTCCGTTATTTCTTATATACTTGTTACGTCTCTGTTCGTTTGTTAATTTTCCATAAAAAATCTTTCCGAAGAAACTCTAGCGATACAAGTCCTTTCTTAAATAAAACTAGTTTATTCTTTCTCAATACAACTTTGCAATACACTTAATTTCCACAGTCAGTTTAACTTAAACAAATGCTATAATTCACAACGAACGATTCACGCACTACCGCGCTCGACTCAATTGTCCGTCTCTATCTCTGTCTGCAATTCAATTTCATTGTTGCTGTCACTTCTTGGCGGTCTTATGTATTATAAAAGCGTACATCTCGTCTCTTCGTGATTCTTCTAGAAACTCATCACGTATTACCAGAGTCACGTGACTTCCGCTGTCGTAACACTGCCCCTTCCTTAGTATTGTTCATCCCGAACAATAGCCACTTAACTTAAACCAATAGATAATTAACAATAACTTAATTAAATGTACAGAATTTACGAACACTACAAACACAAAAATTAAAATTCAACAAAGGCTCTTAATTTTACGGGACGTATCTTCTTCCTTACTGGCTTCTGCTTCACGTGAGGTTCATCTGCTCCATCAAAAATTGTCCTATCATCGGTAATGGTCACATCAGTGGTAGTAACTTCATCAAGGGCTTCACTGTTTCCCTTCTCAAAACCGGGTAGAGTTTCTTCCTCGAAAGTGG